CAAGGGGAGTGAGCCCCTCTTGGGGACTGGGTTCTGGCATGTGGCGTACCTGTGGATCAGCAGCAGTGCAAGCAGGACAAAAGGTTGAAATAAAGCTTGCGTCGTCCGTGTGGTGTAATACCGTTGTGATACACAAGGTGCTGTGCTGCTGGGAATTGCTGCAGGGAGCCGGGGGAGACGGGACCTGGGATGCTCAAACCCTGGCTGTTTTCCCCTTGCCAGAGCATTGTCTGGAGCCAGCTCTGCTGCGTGCTGTGGTCTTCCTTTGCTTTTTTAGTCCCTTTCCATGCTTTTTATAGAAAGGAGTTCTTTCCTTAGTTGCAAAGCACTGCTTGGAGGTTATAGCCAGAATAGCTAGGACCACCTGTGGTACTGGATGCTGGAGGGGATGCTGCAGCCGCTGCCCAGCCATGCTGGCAAGGGGCAGAGCTTCATTTCAGAGCTGCTATTGACTGTATGAGTACAAGCTTTGTGTATGTGTGCGGAACAGGTGACTTTCTCATTTGAATTATCTGGGAGGCTTGTTTTGTTCTCTTTCTGGAGGAAAGGGGACACAAGAATTCCACCTCTGACTCCCTCCAGATGCTTCAGCCCCTCGGGTAGCACTGAAAAGTTGATGGGGAGCAGGAGACAGGGGTACATGTGATGGAAGGGCAGAGGGGAAGCGTGCACTGATGGGGATGAGGCGGCCCTGGTATCGGGAGCACGAGGGCTGCCCCCAGCCCAGCCTGCAAACAGCTGCAGCACAGCCCGAGCTGTTCCTCCAGGATCCTCCCCCTCCGCCTCTGCTGAGCTGCAATTTCATTTTTCACTTTTCTTCCATCCCCTCTTAACTGGAAGAAGTCCTAAATAAAGTTGCTGTCACTTTTATTTATGGGCACAGAGGAAGAGACAGACAAAAAGCCTGTGTGCTCCTGACAGCTACAAAGCAGCCGGCTGTTTTTCTTCGCTCGCGTTGGCGAAGCAATCGATCCAGCCGCAGGCAAGCACCCTCCTCTGGAGTATGGGGCTCCTGTGTCCCCCTGCCCAGGGGGCTTCAAGAGGATGGATGGGAAGGGGTTCTGCATCCTGGATGCTGGCCATAGGGCTGTCAAAGGGCCAGGCTTGTCCGAAAACACCTGTCCTAAAGTTCTGGACCCTGAAAATACAGATGCGTGAACTCGCCTGCTTTAAAAATCCATCACAGGCTTCTTGTCTCCATCTTGATTGGTTCCAGTGAGGTCAACTTTTTTTAATAACTTCTGGACTTCGGCAGGGAAAACTATTTCCTTCAGGAAATAATATAATTAAGGTTGCCTGACACTTCTGATTATAAGCCCCTGTCTTCAGTTGCTTGAAACCACGCCAGCCTTTAACCATTTGGACTGAAACTTCACATGTCTCTGCCTCCGGCTGAATTTTTTTGGAAAATTTTTAGCAAAGAGGGTTTTAAGCTGTTCTCAGAATACAGTTTTGGGGAGAAAAAAGCATTAGTTTATCCACATCTTAAGAAAAAAAAAAACAAAACAAAACAACAAACAAGAGAAATTCTTGCAGTTGTTGTGCTGAAGAATCTCCAGTATCTTTGTGCTGTGAGACCAGGTCTGATAGTTATGGCAAAGGTTTTCAGCCAGACATCGGGGATCTGCTTATTGCTGACACCACGAAAATCCACCTTCCCCCTTCCAAGTTGTGAGCCTCTGAACAAGGCTGCTGTGTGGGTGTATTATATATAGTGTGTGCGAGGAGGTAGTGGACGCTGCGCTCCCACGGCAGGAACTGCGCAGCTTTACCATGTGTGAGTGCAGAACGTATGCCCCAGCTCTCACATGGGATGCCTGGCTGATGGGAAATTCTAGGCCCTTCTGTTGGTGCAAGTAAAACTCATCAATCCCTGATCCATGAAGCCCTGGCTTGTATGGAAGGATGGTTTGTGGAAATGCTATGTGTTTGGCTTAGCCCCATCCCGAGAAGTGGTTCATTTATCCCTTAGTCCTTGCAGTAGCATGCAGATGCATCATGTAGGACATGCGGTTGGCAATGTGTTTTGGGCTTCCTTCGGTGTTTTTGTAGGATCATAGAATGGTTTGAGTTGTAAAGGACCTTAAGATCATCCATTTCCAACCACCTGCCATGGACAGGGATGCCTCACAATAGACCAGGTTGCCTGAAACCCCATCCAATCTGGCCTTGAACACTGCCAGGGATGGAGCATTCATAACTTCCTTGGGCAACCTGTGACAGGGCCTCACTATCCTCACAGAAAAGAACTTCTTCTTTATGCCTAACCTGAACTTCCCCTGTTTAAATTTGAACCCATCACCCCTTGTCCTATCACTACAGTCCCTAATGAAGAGTCCCTCCCCAGCATCCCTATAGGCCCCCTTCAGATACTGGAAGGCTGCTATGAGGTCTCCACGCAGCTTCTCTTCTCCAGGCTGAACAGCCCCAACTTTCTCAGCCTGTCTTCATGCAGTAGGTGCTCCAGCCCCTGATTATCCTTGTGGCCTCCTCTGGACTTGCTCCAGCAGCTTCATGTCCTTCTTACATTTTGTGGGGACCTGTTTAAATATTTAATGTTTTTGCATTACAGTAATTGCAGGTTCCTCCTAACTCAGATTGTAAGCTACAGAAATGGCCAAAACAAGAGTATTTCCTGGAGGCAGCCCAACCAGATCCTGTAAAGCAGGTGTCACACTGACGAAGTGTCCTACCTGTAGCATTGCTGGTATATCAAGTCCTGGTGATGTTGGGTGAGCTCAGAAGGGATACAAGCCCTGCCCCAGGACTTGTCCCTGCTCTATGGCTGATGATTTTTGCTCCTTACATGAGCCTGCCTGATCTGTCAACAAGGCTGTCCCCTGTTTTTGGCTCAGTGGTAGCTATTGGCCTGATCCAGTTCCTTCAGTTGGCTTTGGGTGTGCTGAGTTCCTCCAGAGCCCAATTTGACCTCAGCAAATCTATGCTTCAGCTTCCAAAGAAAACTAGGCTGCTGAACCTGCTCATCCCATGAGGACAGGACATAGTTGTGTCAGGGGGTGTCAGTCCTTTCCATACAAGCAGGTTCCAGGGACACCTCTGAGCAAAGACATTGGGATTCAGCACTTTGTACCCAGCATCACATGCTGTTACTGTGAGAGCATCCTTCCTGCTTGAGCAAAGGATCTTGTTAAAATCTCCCAAAGGGTGCTTGTTGCTAAGCCCATCTCTCTTGTTACACCCCTATTAAGCCAAGAGCAACAGCTCACGCAGGTCCCTGGCAGGTATTGACAAACAAGCCTCGCTGCCTGCTGTAGCCTGGTCTCATAAAGTCATAGAGTGGTTTGGGTTGGAAAGGACCTTAAGATCATCCTGCCATGGGAAGGGACACCTCACACTAAAGCATACAACCCAAGGCTCTGGCCAGCCTGACCTTGAGCCCTGCCAGGGCTGGAGCATTTACCACTTCTTTGGGCAGCCCATTCCAGTGCCTCACCACCCTCACAGTAAAGAACTTCTTCCTTATATCTAACCCAAACTTCCCCTGTTGAAGTTAAAACCCATTACCTTTTGTCCTATCACCTCAGCCCTTTACAAAGAGGCTCTTCTTCATGTGCGGGTTTTAAGAAAAACTCACAAAATAAAACACCAACAACACAAGAAGTTGCTCTGGCATTGCAGAGCTAAGGGGGGATTGGTGGGGTGAAGCCCTTTCCCCTCCTTGCCAGTCACTTGTCAGCTCCAGGGTGCATGGCAGAGCAGCTTTTGAGTGATGGGGCATTGCTGGTGTTAGGCTTAGGGCAGCTGGAGTTAAATTTCTCCATAGCTGACACCTGACAAGCATGATGAATTGCGGCACACCGTGGCTGCCGCTGTGACAAACGGTCCACTTCCCTCATTTTAAGCTCTGGGAAAACTTTTTAATTATTTCCCATCGCTTTGCAAATGAGGGTTTCTCCATCAGGCATGAGGCAGAGCTTTGGGGGGGGTGTGGTGTGTGTGTGTGTGGTGTTAATCATCTATTTATTTAGTTATATATTTACTTGTTATTTACTTAGGTTTCATAAGCAAGTGAGGGGTGGATAGGATTGTAATTTGGGTTTCTATAGCATCCTCCTGCTGACTCCCCTGGGCTTTGGATGGGGTCCCAGTAAGGGCTCTGGCAAAGCTCATCAGCTTGGGGTTGGGTGCTAATTAAAGCATGTGGTGCTCCAGGCTTGGAGTCGCTGTTGCCCTTGGGAAAGTGTCTCTGCAGGAGCGACTCCCAGACATTCCTCTTGCCAGTGGATTTGGCTCTTATTTTTCATTTTTAATAATGCAGAACCATAAGACTTTACTTTTTTTTTTCTCCTCAAAGCATTTAAAAAGGAGGTGGGGGGAGGAACAACACAAGCTCAGCCACAATAGCTAGATAATGAGAGCGGATCTTGACTGATAATTTGTTTGTCTAACACAAAAAGCATATTTGCTGCTATAACTGAAGGCACTGCTGGTTACAGTAATGCCTCAGACGCATAGCACAGAAAAGTCTCTCTCCTGCTTCCAGTCCTCCGTGTCTGTGCTGCAAAGCCGTACGTGCATACTTTCCCCTTCACACTCCCAGGTTCAATCGGATTGGCCTCTCCCTGCACGGTTTAACACGTGTGTGAGGCTTTCCAGGATTAGGGCTTAGGCAGTGCAAGACCTTGTGGACAAATGCCTTGGTGCGGGGCTGACATTTTAGTGCTGTTTTGTCTGGGGAGGGTTGCTGTCTGTCTTGAAAGAAGATCAGAGATGCCCCAAGCTGCGGTTGTTTTTTTTGTCCCTCTCTCCTTTCATGTCTATAAATCGAAATTAAGCAAATGCGTGTTTATGGGGTTGGATTGTGATGCTCCTGTGGAAGGACTCTTCATCTAAACTAGCTTCATGTTCACACTTCGTTACCCCCAGCTCTCAAGGCTGGAAAACAGATGCCTCTCTCCCTTTGGTTGTTCTCTAAACTTGGAGAGACGGCAGAGCTCCACCTGGTAACCTGACTGTGTGTCTCTTCTCTTCTGTTGAAGAAACCCCCAGATCTGAGTGGTGGAGGTTGGTCAAGCAGCCAGAAGAGTCTGACACACGCTGGTGAGAAGCTGGGGACTCCCCAAGGACTTTGGACTAGTGGAAAGGTAAGAGGTTAAAACACTTGCTCACCCAGTTTGTCCTGCTTGTGTGCTCTGGGCCAGTTGGTGTCGGGCCATGTGTCTTTTGGTGTGTACTAAAGCATGGGAAAGGGTTGATCCTATCTCTGGTGCTTGAGCAGCTCCATGGCTGCTGTGCAAAGAGGGCAGATTATGACAGTGTTTATTTAGGTTGTAGAGGACCAGGTTTGGATGAACATCATGGAAAATGCACTTCTCCATAGGGAACCCTCCCACATGAAATCCCTTGGGACAGCTCAGGGATGAGTGATCTAACTGTGGTAGCAGAGCTCCTGTGGTAGCTGAGCTACCCTGGAGCAGGTAAGTGTTACCCAACCCTGCTTTGTGACCTCACCTCTCACAGACAAGCACAACTTCAAGCTCTCAGGTCTGTGAGATGTTGTTTCTGCTTCGGAGGGCTGCAGCATCACAGGTGTGATGAACTTCCCTGGGCTCTGAAAAGGGCTGCATCCCCTTAGGAGACCATGACCATCACCAGCCATGGTCAAGGGGGTGCCCCAACTCTGTTGCAAATGTACTTCGTGTGGGGCTGTGATAACACAGTGTTGCTTGAGAAGAGATTTGGGGTCATCTCCAAGCCATGGGGACCCTGCTGGATTAGGAAAGGGGCCTATGGAGGGGGCTGCCCCACTTGGGGACACAGACCCTGCAGAAGCTGGTGCTGTGCTTGAGAAATGAAAATGATGAATTAAAATTTAACAAGTCTCTAAATGCCAGGCAAGGACATCTGAAGTGTGAATTGTCACCATTTGACTAGCGCAGCCTCCCACTTAGCTAAAGCTGCATGGATTTAATTATGTTGATCTTGGAAAAGCAATAGCTTACACCAAAGAGGACAAACTGTTGGCCAAAACAGCATGAAGTGCCATGAATTTTCCCTGCGCAGCTCCCCTGCTCTCTCCCCTTGCATCATACTTCATAGGGGTGTTTCACAGTCCCTCTCACTCTGTAATCAGCAGAGTCCTGTATCCTCTGAGCCACAGGCAAGGACAGAACTGCTCCCTATGTGCAAGGCTCTGGATTAAAAAGCTCAAGGTTAAGTGACTGCTGGGGTGGGCAGCACCTGAAGGAGCCACAGTGAGGAGTGGGCCAGGGATGCTCTGCAGTAACAAAACCTTGCCCTCAGCACTGCCTGGTGGTGTCATCCACGGAGTGGTGTAGAATAAGACCTCTTCCCTCCCATCCTTGGTGTGGACTGGCCCACTCATGGGACTCCTTGCATCTCTGCAAATAGAGCAGTTTGAGGAGTGTATATCGCTAATAATACCAATTACTGTTACATGCTGCTACAAGGTACACAGGCAGTAATGGGATCCAGGGGGGATGAAATGAAAGCGATATAATGCGGTGAGATAAATTAGCACTGTAAAATTAGCCATGGGTCTAGTCAGGGATCTGACAAATGTGTCGCAGCTTCAGTACAAGCTCTGAGCGCTGCTGAATTGGATTTAGTGGCCCAGAGCAAAGCAGATGGGAGCAAGGGAAAAAAGAGTTTGAGGGGTCTCCGTACACACATGCTAATGGTTAACTGTTTGTTTCTTCCTCGGCTTTGCTGAATGATACGTCCCCTGGTGCCTGCTCGTACACAGCAGAGGAGGAATAAAAACCTGGCCCCATTGATGTGCTGTTGGAGTAGCTTGAGCCTGGCAGAGACATGGGAAGGGCATTGGAGAAGCAGCAGGAGGCTGGTTCCGCTCCCAGCCTTGGTGCCCCAGCTGCTGGCCCCTGCCCTTCGTCATCCCTGTGGGCTTCCCCACCTGGATTTGCTCCCCAGGGATCATCAGTGGGTTCAAGTGGGATGTGTGGCAGGCATTTGTGAATGTTTTAGCCTTGTAGGGAGGACAGAAAGCTGTTTTCTGCTCCTGTTTTTCAGCCTGGCCTGTTTTCCCATGCCTGGCCCGTCACTGGGGCAGAAGGATGGCTGGAGCCAGGCATCCTGCATCATGCCTGTTCACCAAGGGTGTGCAGTCATCCCTTTCAAGCCCAGATACACACATTATCCTTCCCCCTCTGATGCAGAGGGTGGAAGCCAGGAGATGCTTTTTGTGCCTCGGGGAGGCTGGGAAATGGATGTGGCCAGCTGCAGTGGGATCTTCTTCCTGGTGGCTCATTAGGACAGGCTCCACTGGAGGGATGCAAACAGTCCTGCTGTGAGCGATGGATGGCCAGAGAGAGCTGCTTGCAGATTGGTAAATGCAGGCTAATTGCATGTTTAGTGGCTGACACATTATACAGGGTCTAGGGAGGGGTAGGCATGATTTAGGTCTGGTTTGATAAGGCATGTCATGTGGCTCACTTAATAGCAATAATAAAAGGAGAAAAATTCTGCATTTGCTTTGTAGCACTCTGTGGTAGAGCAGTGTGGGGCAGAGGGCTTGTAAGGGGGTCTGAGGTGCATGGTGGGTACATGGCAGAAGTGTCTGTGGGAGGAGACCGGCTTGTTACATCCGTGGGGACAGCATTGCAGAGGGAAGGCTGCTGTCTTGGGCAGTTCTGCAGCAGCACCAGGCTGAGAAACAAATCCCAAGGGATTGTGTCGGCACTTCCTGGAGCATCCCAAGAGTGAACTTGTGGGCTGAGCCCCCATGGAGGGAGACTTGAGGAGATGAGTTCCAGTCTATTGTCAGCAGTCGCTGCTACAAGCAAGGCAGGAGGTGCAGTGGTGACTCTTTTAGGGTATCTCAGACCACAGTCACCCCCAGGACCAGCAGGGTGATGAACTGCAGCAGTGGAGGGAGCCCCTTCTTCAACTTTGCTGATGGAGAAGTAGTGATGTGGGACTGCAGCAGGACAATGAACCTGCAGTTGGAGTGCTGGTAGCAGCACAAATAGAAATACAACTTCTGTTCTTGTGCAGCAATGATATATCTTGTTTCTATTGACTTTCTTAAACCTCTAAAATACATTGTAGATTGATCTACAAATCTGCAAAAAGCACCTGTGTTTTGGGGTTTTTTGATGTTTTTTTTTTCGAAGTCTAAAGCAATTTTCTGCCTGCTCCTTGTGGTTGGCTCTGAACAGACACATGTTCTCTTGTCCTCTTGGAGGCTGGCTTGCTGCCACGGTGGTAGGAAGTTTAGTAATACTTGAGCTGGATCGATTCAAGCCCATTATCTGTGCTGCTTGGGACTCGGCAGAGAAGGGAAAAAAAACCCTACTCTCTGCTAACGCATCAAAGCCCTGCGATAAGGATACACGGTTGAGCTCTATTTATAGATGGACAGATGTCTTGCCAAAGCTCTGCTGCTGTCACTTGGTTATGCAGTTCTTGCGTGTTTAGCAGTGTTCAGGTCTGACGGAATCCGTTCTACCTTCTGGCTTAGATGTGTCCCCTCCAGGCACAGCCCACAATATTACTGCTTCTCAGGGGCCTCTGTCCTTCCTCCAAGTAGGGACCTGCTTCTTAGATGGGAAGAACTAAATGCCTGAGAGGTCTTAGGTGCTCATGGAGTAGGCGATTGGGTTAAGGTCTGACTGGGGATGTCCCATCTTGCTCTTGGATCTTCATAGACCTTGGAGCTCCAGCGCAGGACTGCCACCAATGCTACATCAGATCAGTGTGATTGCCTAGTTGAGTGTTCACAGCTTAAGCATGGACATCCCCCATTTCCTGTAGTGCCTGGTCCTCAGCATTGCCACCCTTCCAGCAAAGATGTTTTTCCTACTTCTCACCCTAAACCTCCCAAGCAACAATGTGTGGCTACTGCCATGTTGCATTTCATGAGTTTTCCTCCTTCACCAAATACTGTCAAGGACATTTAAATCAGTACCAGCCATGAAAACTGCATGATTAGAGATTTTCCCCAGGCCAAGTTAGCACAGGTCTTGCAGTGTATGTGCACACGCATCTTCATGAGTGCCTGGGTTTTGGTGGGATAGTGAAAAGGGTGGGCTTGCCAAGTCCAGATTCAGTTCCTGGCATTATGGAGTGCCCATGCTGATACGGTACAGTTGTTCTTCCTTTCCTTCCATACACTGCTCTGTCACAATAGTCATGAAAATGGGAATGGAGAAAGGCAAAGGCTTCATTCTGCCATGCTTCGGGGATTTTTGTTGAAGGTGCTGTGCTGGTGTCCCCTCAGTTATAATCTTAGGAAGCAGTGGTCTGATGGGACTCTGCAGCCACATTTTTTTTTTGCAACAGACTTGCAAAAACATCCAGTTTGGACTTGAGAGCTCAAAAGTCCTCTGCACCGAGCAAGAGACTGAGCATACGCATGGCTGCTCAGGGCTTTATCCAGCCTGCTCCTCAAAGCCCCTGGGAATGAAGTGAGGATATGCTGTTTGGGCCACTGTTCCGGTGCTGGCAGGCTCTCAAGGGGATAAAAGTTTCTTCTTGCATCCAGTGAGAACCTTTTCAGCTACTGCCCACTGCCACTCATCCTCTTGCTGTGAAGAGCCTGCCTCGGTCTTCTCAATAACTTTCCATTCCACCTCAGCATCCCACGCTCAATTTCTTCCAGTTAGCCAACACGTGTCTTTTCTTTGGTCTCTGAAAGCAATGTCTTGATGTGGTCCAAGTGCTGTGTGAGCTGCTGGCCGTGTCACTGCTCCCGTAGATCAGCATCCTGTTGTCCTGCTTTGCTGGCAGGGCAGGCAGCTGGCCCCTGCCTGGACCCACACTGTTATGGGATGGATATCCCAAGCCCAGCAGCACCACACCATGAAAACGGTCTGGAGATATCATAATAAATGTGGGGGGTTTTTTGTTTGTTTTTTTGGTTTTTTTTGAGGCTCCAGTGGACTGGGGGATTGGAACGGGATGATCTTAAGCTCCTTTCCAACCCAAACCATTGTATGATTCTATCGTTCTATCATTCTATCTATCTATCATTCTAAGAGTGTGGTTGCAAGAGGGAAGGAGTCATCCCTTGGCATGTTTGTGGACCAAGATGTGACTTTTGTTTCTTAACATGTCCCCTTGGTCAGGTGCAGGGCAGTTGCATGATGGTTTAGGGCTATGCGCC